AAAAAAAAAAAAAATTCTAGTTCTGAACAATCTTTTGTACTTCCTCCAACAGTTAGTTCCATACGATGTTACGTCTGTAGTGGAAAGGAGACTTATTGCAAGAAGAATAAACGAATGAAGTCATCTGAATGCTCAATCCGCTATAAACTTGACACATGTTACAAGCGCATACCTACAAACTACACAGGAGAGCTGACAGTAACCAAACTATGCCACGTTAGGGGCGAGTGCTTCAAGGAGCAAAGACAATGTGAACAATCTGGCAAATGTAAAGTGTTCTGCTGTTTCACGGACTATTGTAACAGCAGTACAGGCCAACTAGTACAGAAATGGATACTTTTATTGTTACAAATAGTGATAGTTATGATTACTTGATTCCATAGAATGCTATTTTCCGAAGATGAGGATCGTTGTTAATAACAAGACTTATATTGATTAAGTACATTGGGAATTCATTTCTGACTCCCACTAGAATGATATCAGGTTGTCTTATAAGAGCAACCACTCCATCCACCTTTTATCATATCACTCATCCATCCATCCAATAATTCCAACAAAACTAATAATAAATGTTCTATTATACATTTTATAGATTAATAGATGATTTTTTATAATACATTTTATAAAATAATGGACTATTTGCTGTTATTACGGATTATAGAATGAAGATATTCAAAAGATGAAACGTTGTGTATAACATCACATTTTCTTCATTTAGGTTAGGTAGTCAGGTCATGTTGAACCCGAAGCAATCTAAATATATCTCGAGAAGCTTCTCTATCTAAAAATACATTTCCATTATTAAAAATGTCTACTGTCTCCGCTGTTTATTTTCTTGTCGCGCGTTTAAAATGATGACTTTTTAGGTGGACAGCCTCTTCTATATTAAAAATAAAACCTTTATCGTTTTTTTTACTAAACTAATATCGTACTACATCAACAGCAATATGTGTTACATAGTTTAATGTTTTGCCCCCGCAAACCGAAACACCTGGCTACCGTTTATAAGTAAAATGCGCTACATATATTAAAGATTAAACACAAATCTATTGGAGGACAAGACCAAAGTATTGTATTCAGTTTTGCTTGTCAGTCTGGTGAAACGAAGTGAGGTAGTACCATTTGCCTGAACCACCTAAGTGCCTGTGCATAACGAATACC